TCTGGTATGTTGTGTCTTCATTCTCGTTGGTTTCTAAGAACATCTTTATTTCTGCCTTCATTTCATTGTTTATCCAGTCGACATTCAAGAGCCAGTTGTTCAGTTTCCATGAAGCTGTGCGGTTCTGAGTTAGTTTCTGAATTCTGAGTTCTAACTTGATGGCACTGTGGTCTGAGAGACTGACTGTTAGGATTTCCATGGTTTTGCATTTGCTGAGGAGTGATTTACTTCCAGTTATGTGGTCAATTTTAGAGTAGGTGTGATGTGGTGCTGAGAAGAATGTATATTCTGTGGATTTGGGGTGGAGAGTTCTGTAAATGTCTATTAGGTTTGCCTGGTCCAGGTCTGAGTTCAAGTCCTGGATATCCTTGTTAATTTTCTGTCTCGTTGATCTGTCTAATATTGACAATGGGGTGTTAAAGTCTCCCACTGTTATTGTGTGGGAGTTTAAGTCTCTTTGTAAGTCATTAAGAACTTGTCTTATGTATCTGGGTGCTCCTGTATTGGGTGCGTGTACATTTAGGATCGTTAGCTCTTCTTGTTGCATTGATCCTTTTGCCATTATGTAATGCCCTTCTTTGTCTCTTTTGATCTTTGTTGGTTTAAAGTCTGTTTTATCAGAGACGAGAATTGCAACTCCTGGTTTTTTGTTTTTTGGTTTTGCTCTCCATTTGCTTGGTAAATCTTCCATCTTTTTATTTTGAGCCTTTGTGTATCCTTGCGTGTGACATGGGTTTCCTGGATATGGCGTGCCGGTGGGTTTTGGCTTTTCATCCAGTTTGCCAGTCTGTGTCTTTTGATTGGGGCGTTTAGCCCATTCACATTTAAGGTTAATATTGTTATGTGTGAATTTGATCCTGCCGTTTTGATGCTAGCTGGCTGTTTTGCCCATTAGTTGATACAGTTTCTTCATTGTGTCGATGCTGTTTACCATTTGGTATGTTTTTGGAGTGGCTGGTACTGGTTGTTCCTCTCTATGTTTAGTGCTTCTTTCAGGAGCTCTTGTAAAGCAGGCCTGGTGGTGATGAAATCTCTGAGTAATTGCTTGTTAGTAAAGGATTTTATTTCTCCTTCACTTATGAAGCTTAGTTTGGCTGGATATGAAATTCTTGGTTGAAAGTTCTTTTCTTTAAGGATGTTGAATATTGGCCCCCACTCGCTTCTGGCTTGTAGGGTTTCTGCTGAGAGATCTGCCGTGAGTCTGATGGGCTTCCCTTTGTGGGTAACCCGACCTTTCTCTCTGGCTTCCCTGAGCATTTTCTCCTTCACTTCAACCCTGGTGACTCTGGCGATTATGTGCCTTGGGGTTGCTCTTCTTGAAGAATATCTTTGTGGCGTTCTTTGTATTTCCTGGACCAGAATATTGGCCTGCCTTGCTAGGTTGCAGAAGTTTTCCTGGATAATATCCTGGAGGGTGTTTTCCAGCTTGGATTCATTTTCTCTGTCACATTCATGTACACCTATCAAACGTAGATGAGGTCTTTTCACATAGTCCCATATTTCTTGGAGACTTTGTTCGTTCCTTTTTACCCTTTTTTCTCTAATCTTTCCTTCTCGTTTTATTTCATTGAGTTGGTCTTTGACCTCTGATATCCTTTCTTCTGCTTGGCCAATTAGGCTGTTGAAACTTGAATATGCTTCACGAAGTTCTCTTGTGTTTTTCAGCTCTATCAATTCACTTATATTCCTCTCTAAGCTGTTAATTCTCATTAGCATTTTGTCAAACCTTTTATCAAGGTTCTTAGTTTCTTTGCATTGGGTTAGAACATGTTCTTTTAGCTCAGAGAAGTTTGTTATTACCCTCCTTCTGAAGCCTGTTTCTGTCAATTCATCACAGTCATTCTCCATCCAGCCTTGTTCCCTTGCTGGTGAGGAGTTGTGATCCCTTGGGGGAGGAGAGGTGTTCTGGTTTTTGGTGTTTTCATCCTTTTCATGCTGGTTTCTTCCCATCTTTGTGGATTTATCCACCTGTCGTCTTTGTAGTTGTTGACTTTCAGATTGGGTCTCTGAGTGGACGTCCAGTTTGTTGATGATGAAGTTATTTCTTTCTGTTTCTTAGTTTTCCTTCTAACAGTCAGACCCCTCTGCTGTATGACTGCTGAGGTCCACTCCAGGTCCACTCCAGGCCCTGCTTGTCTGGGGATCACCTGCAGCAGCATCCGCGCTTTCATGGGTCACTGCAATTCTCAGTTACTCCTAATCAGCCATCTGTGAACCTCTGCCGCCACAGCCCAATGTGCAGCGCCAGCACTCTCCCGCTGCCCTGCACCTGGGGTTCCGGAGGGAGAAAGAGCAGAAAAGGAAGCAGCACAGTGTTTCTTTAACTTTGGAATTCATTTCAACCATATATTCTACTTAGGTGTCCTTTTTATAAATTAACCTGTTATGCTGTGCCTTTCCTTCTCTGAAACAGAAAAGACCAACATTTATATCTGAATACCAGCCATCTTTAGCTTTTCTTGGCTTTCTGTCCAACTGTTATATTTATAGCAGTTTCTCCAAATTTTGTCTTGTAGATTTCTCCCAAAGAAAGAGAGGTGACATTAATGAGTTCAGACTATGTTAATAGCATCTGTTACTCAGACCAGTCTTGTTCTCCTCGCTTTCATCTTTCTAAATCAAACAGTCTCACTCTGGATACAGTCTTCTCTTATGCCGGTATTTAACTCAGACCTGAACTTGATTTGTCATTGTCATGCCTGGCTCTCCTTTAGTATTGTCTGATTTTTTTTTTATTTTTATTTTTTCCTGAGGTGGAGCTTCACTTTTGTTCGCAGGCTGCATGGCAGTGGTGCAATCTCAGCTCGCTGCACCCTCTGCCTCCCGGGTTCAAGGGATTCTCCTGCCTCAGCCTCCTGAGTAGCTGGGATTACAGGCGCATGCCCCCAAACCCAGCAAATTTTTGTATTTTTTTAGTAGAGATGGGGTTTCACCATGTTGGCCAGGCTGGTCTTGAACCCGTGACCTTAGATGATCCACCCACCGCAGCCTCCCAAAGTGCTGGGATCCACCGCGCTCGGCTTATTATCTGATATGTACTCTACTTTTCCTTGGTCTTTAATGCCATAAAGCTTTCCATCATCTAAAGTTGGGCACAGATCATAGTAGTTGGATGCTTTCTCGATAGTAATTCTATCACTAGCTGTTTTATATTCTTTCCTCGTATTCCCTCCCAAATTTTACATAGTTTGAGTATGTTCAGGGTGTTCTCAGTCACTCTTCTTATGGATTCTGTCTGAACTTCTCAGTCATGTTTAGGATCCTAGATCATTCCAAGAACGTCATTACGTTTTGCTGAGATATTAAATGTTTCTCTGTTTCTTGAACCATGTTCACCAATTTTTGTCTCAACTAGAAAATATGGCATTCTTAATAAGGGAACTTCTCACTTTTCATTTGGTTTGCTAATCAAAATCTAATGTAATTAGCAAATTAGGAACCAGTGTGAGACAATGCCAGATACAAGCCATGAACGTGACTTGCTTCCTTTCAGTGCTGCTGTCCACTTGGTTACGGTTAAGACCATATCACCTTGCAGCACATTTCAAGGAAAGTATTGTAGGTCATCGTCTCTTCTGGTATCTATCAATGTGTCTCTTCATTGTGCTAAGCAGTTTAAGTTCCTTGCCTTTTTCACATAAGGTCTAATTTTTTCATCCCTATACCATTCTACTTGGCCTTCTACTTGCTTTAGTGGTCACTGTCCCAAATTCTAGGGCCAGTGTAACAAAATTCGTTTCATTTCAAATTTTATCCTTGACCTTTCTTTACAAAGAAGGAAATAAAGCCTTTAAAATGTATTCAAGACCGGGCGTGGTGGCTCACGCCTGTAATCCCAGCACTTTGGGAGGCCGAGGCGGACAGATTATGAGGTCAGGAGTTCAAGACCAGCCTGGCCAATATGGTGAAACCCCATCTCTACTAATAATGCAAAATTAGCCGGGCATGATGGTATGTACCTGTAGTCCCAGCTACTCAGGAGGCTGAAGCAGAATAGTTTGAACACGGGAGGTGGAGGTTGCAGTGAGCTGAGATTGTGCCACTGCAGTCCAACCTGGGTGACAGAGTAAGACTCCATCTCAAAAGAAAAAAAAAATGCATTCAGTAATGTAAGTTACCTTTATAATAAGAACCCCTACAGTGGCATAAAATTGGGTTTTATGACACATTTTCGGGCTTCTGAAGGGATCATGAAGGCCACAGGTTAGGGTATGTGGAAAGGAAGATATTTTCCTGGTTTGGTTACTTAACCTTCAGCAGACCTTTTTTTGGGGATAACTCTACTACATATAGGTTGTATTTACTTTATATGTGGTTTCATTTTATATAGGTACACTTGTATTCTACCTAGTATTTTTTAAATCCTATTTTTGGGCTGTCAGTATTTATAGCACATCAGTGACTCACTTGGGTCCAAAGCCTGTTTGTTCATGCTCTTTAGCCCTTGCTATCTACAATGAATTGATGTTAAATATTTTCCTTTTTGCTTATAATTATATATTTTTCCTGTGATCATAACATTATGATATTTGGTATTTATTTGGTTTTCACCTTAGAGTTAAACATTGAAAACCTTGGTGGTGGCACCTGTTCTTTAGCACAGTCCTAGGACTGTTTCTGAGACTTGCCCTGGTCTGTGGAAAAGAGGGTCAGGGATATGAGATGTTAGTGGCTGTTTTAGCATCAGGCTTTTATGTTGTGGGTCTGCGGAGGGCTGTTTCATAACAGTCTCACTTAGTTTAGCCTGTCCTAGAAAGTTGTTCTTGCCAGCAAACCTCATACTTTATAAGGAAGCTCATTCTGTCTTTGAGCTTTGACTAACTTCCTTAAAATTGAAAGTGTACTTTATTTGGAGAAGTGTAACGTGGAAAAGCAGACAATTTTGTCTTGAAAACTATTGTTACAGGTTTCTTACAACATCTCTTGTACTCATCTTAGAATATCATTTAGGTTTGCTGGTCAGCAGCTATTATACATTTAAATTAAATTTTTTTTCATAGGTTCAAGGAAAGGACCCTTCCGTGGACATCACTCAGGACCTTGTGGATGAATCTGAAGAGGAGCGTTTTGATGATATGTCATCTCCAGGCTTAGAATTGCCATCTTGCGAATTAAGTCGCCTTGAGGAAATTGCAGAACTTGTGGCATCATCTTTACCTTCACCTCTTCGTCGTGAAAAACTTGCACTGGCACTAGAAAATGAGGGTTATATTAAAAAGCTCTTGGAGCTTTTTCATGTGTGTGAGGATTTGGAAAATATTGAAGGACTGCACCACTTGTATGAAATTATAAAAGGCATCTTCCTCTTGAATAGAACTGCTCTTTTTGAAGTTATGTTCTCTGAGGAATGTATAATGGACGTCATTGGATGTTTAGAATATGATCCTGCTTTATCACAACCACGAAAACACAGGGAATTTCTAACAAAAACAGCGAAGTTTAAAGAAGTGATTCCCATATCAGATCCTGAGCTGAAACAAAAAATTCATCAGACATACAGAGTTCAATATATACAAGATATGGTTCTACCAACTCCTTCGGTCTTTGAAGAAAACATGTTATCAACACTTCACTCTTTTATCTTTTTCAATAAGGTAGAGATTGTTGGCATGTTGCAGGTGAGTCAGATCATTCCTTTTTTCATACTTCAAAAGATGCAGCAAAAACAATTTGCTCCTTTAAGTACACACATTGAGTTTTAATTTTGTTAATGTATAAAGTTATTTGTGAGATATTTTAAGAGATTATAATTTATAGTAATACTACGAGACCAGAAGGTTGTTGTATCTGGGGTAGGAGAGGTAATCAATGTAGTTTGAAGAAATTACAAGGGGATGTGTTTTTGTTTTTGTTTTTTGGATAGGGTCTTGCTCTGTTGCCTAGGTTGTATAGCAGGCGTCCCCAAACTTTTTACACAGGGGGCCAGTTCACCGTCCCTCAGACTGTTGGAGGACCACCACATACTGTGCTCCTCTCACTGACCACCAATGAAAGAGGTGCTCCTTCCTGAAGTGCGGCAGGGGGCTGGATGAAGTGGCCTCAGGGGGCCGCAGTTTGGGGACGCCTGCTGTATAGGGTAGTAACGTGATCTCAGCTCACTGCAGCCTCCACCTCCGCTTCCCTGGCTCAAGCAGTCCTCCCACCTCAGCCTCCTGAGTAGGTAGGACCACAGGTGTGCTCCACCATGCCCAACCAGTTTTTATATGTTTTGTAGAGTTGGAGTTTGTCATACTGCCCAGGCTGGTCTCACTTCTGAGCTCAAGCAATCCTCCTGCCTCGGCCTCCCAAAGTACTGGGATTACAGATGTGAGCTGCTGTACTCAGCCTGATTTTTTTTTTTTTTAAATAAACGTGGGGGTCTTGTTCTGTTGCCCAGGCTGGTTTGCAGTGGCACAGTCATAGCTTATTGCAACCTTGAACTCCTAGACTTGAGCCATTCTCCCAGCTCAGCCTTCCAGTGCAGCCTAGTTAAGACTACAGATGCATGCCACCACACCCACCTTTTAAAAAATGTTTTGTAAATATAGACTCTCGCTTCATTGCTCAGAATGGTCTCAAACTCGTGGCTTCAAGCAGTCTTCCCACCGTAGCCTCCCAAAATTTTGGAATTACAGGTGTGAGCCACCATAACCTAGCTACAGGGGGATAATATTAATGAAATGGTTGAAAGCTGAACTTCAGGGTTATTAGTCAATGAATTATGCATAGAATAGAACACATTGGAAGAGGAAAGGGTGAAGCATGAAGCCAAGAGAAATGTCACTATGTACGGAATATAAATTCTTTTTTTTTTTTTTTTTTTTTTTCTGAGACAGAGTTTCGCTCTTGTTACCCAGGCTGGAGTGCAATGGCGCGATCTCGGCTCACCGCAACCTCCGCCTCCTGGGTTCAGGCAATTCTCCTGCCTCAGCCTCCTGAGTAGCTCGGATTACAGGCATGTGCCACCATGCCCAGCTAATTTTTTGTATTTTTAGTAGAGACGGGGTTTCACCATATTGACCAGGATGGTCTCGATCTCTTGACCTCGTGATCCACCCGCCTCGGCCTCCCAAAGTGCTGGGATTACAGGCTTGAGCCACCTCGCCCGGCCCGGAATATAAATTCTAATGAGAATTGTGGGCTAGGTTCTGTGGCCTGTCTCTACCAAAAAAATTAAAATGAATTTGTAAAAATCACAGGTAATAATAGTAGAGGTCTAGCTTCAGGGTCTAGGGAATGTAGCAGAGGAGGTAATTATAACTGCATGTATCCCTACCAAAAGCCACATTTTGGTAATGGGCGTGCTGGTGGGTGAGTTAAACTCCTGGGAATTTGAGTTTTGGCTCTACCTGTTACTCAGTAACTCCCAATAGCTATGTGAGTTGGGCAGCCTTCTTAACCTCTAAAAGCTTCAGTGTCCCCATCTGAAGAATGGTGACAGTTGTCTGAAAATTAAGAAGTCAGGCATGTAAAGAAAGTGTTAAATATAATGTAAGACTCAACGATAATTTTAAAAAATACCTATTGACAGTTGCATATTAAAATGTAAATTTTTTTCTTATAGCATGCCCAGTCTCTCTGATCTGGTGTTTTAGGGTATTTGCATCATAGTCCCCTAGGGTGCAGTATCCTGAATTCTACACAAAACACAGAGTCAAAGTCTCTGAGAACTAGACGATAATTTCATTTGTAACACCCCTAAAATGAGAAAGCCTCTCACTGTGTCATCCCAATGTGTGAATTGGTCTATTCTAACTGAAATAGAAGTTTACCCTAGTGGCTCACACCTGTAATCCCATCACTTTGGGAAGCCAAGACAGGAGGATCGATTAAACCCAGGAGTTAAAGACTAGCCTGGGGCTAGGTTCAGTGGCTTACACCTGTAATCCTAGCTCTTTGGGAGCCCAGACAGGTGGATCACCTGAGGTCAGGAGTTCAAGACCAGCCTGGACAACATGTTGAAACCCCATCTCTACTACAAATACAAAAATTAGTTGGTCGTGGTGATGGACACCTGTAATCCCAGCTACTGGGGAGGCTGAGGCAGGAGAATCTCTTGAACCTGGGAGGCAGAGATTGCAGTGAGCTAAGATCATGCCATTGCACTCCAGCCTGGGCAACAGGAGCAAATTTCCGTCTCAAAAAAAAAAAAAAAAAAAAAAAAAAAAAAAAAAGACTACCATGAACAACAATAGACTCCAACAAAAAAATTAAAAATTAGCCAGGTATAGTGGTACATGCCTATAATCTCAGCTACTTGGGAGGCTGAGTTGGGAGAATTGCGTGATCCCCCCGAGTTCAAGGCAGCAGTGAGCAATGATCATGCCATTGCATTCTAACCTGGGCAACAGAGTGAGACTCTATCTCAACAACAAATAAGTTTGTGTGGTACAAAGTAAGATTTGTTATTTGCACACACACACATATACCCATGTTGTTTTTGATTCTTTGATGCCTATGATAATTGTAAGAATAACAGATATTTGGGTGGCTGGGGGCGGATGGATCACTTGATCTCAGGAGTTCAAGATGAGGCTGGCCAACATGGCAAAACCCCGTCTCTACTAAAAATAACAAAAATTAGCTGGGCATGGTGGCGGTTGCCTGTAATCCCAACTACTCAGTAGACTGAGGCAGGAGAATCATTTGAACCCAGGAGGTAGATGCCCATCCCTCTATCCCAGCTACTCTGGAGACTGAGATGGAGAATCACTTGCACCTGGGAGGCAAAGGTTGTATTGAGCCAAGATTGTACCACTGCAGATAAATGTAATATGGCTTGGAAGATCTTTTAAGACTTTACCTCAGGTGTTCAAGCAAAATAATTATTTGAAATCTGAATTTATTAATTATAGAAAGGAAGCCAATAAATGTAGTCAGAGCTGTTTGGTAGCACACATCATATATGAAGCAGTATGTTTAATCTTCGTGTCTGTTCTTGTTTAGAAAATTTTTTATTTCTTAAGTAGTAGTAGCTAGTGATGAGCAAAAAAAGGAAAAATACGAATTAAAATAGAAAAGGTCATTTTACCTGTAACTGCTTTCCTAGAGCTAGTAATAATTCCAGTTCATATTGACTGATTTGACATGTTTTCCATTCGTTTAAGATACACGTGTAAACAAACAATATAGGCAATACAGTCTGCTAAGTACAATAGTAGTCCTCTATACAGCATCTTGTGATTGATAATGGAGGAAGGAGTAGGATTCTGGTTCCAGTTTCTTTTTGTTCTTTAATGAGGAGCTAGTTTTCCCTAGCTAATGGAGCCTCACTGTTCTGGTCCAATTCTGATTCCTAATTTCCTTGGATAGTCCTGAGTTCTCCTGATCATTTTCTTTAGTTTCATATGGTTCTATTTTGTTATGTGGTGATTTGTCACTTCTGTGTTTTCTTGGTCTTCATTCATGCAAAATGCCAGTTTTACTCATTAAGTGTGAATAATTTCAAGTTGTTAAATCTTTGCTTCACTGCAATATGCTGTGTAAAATACTGGCTGCCAGTATGTCTGTTTTTCTTGATGCCAGACACTTCTATCCAAAGTGCTGCTGTGAACATTTTACAAATGTTTTATTTAGCAAGAAGGGATTGAGGTACAGTTTCATGCAGGTTCCTGCCCACTTTGTGTAGTCCCCTACACACATAATATCACACCCACTTGTTAAGATTGGTTTATTCCTTTGTAGTACCATAAACATCCTTATTTTCTCTACTTCTATACCCTCAACTGCAGCAGTTCAGAGAATGCCTTTTTTTAACCATTTGATATCCAGTTGGTTGAATATAGTATATTAGGGATATATCTTGAAATTGGATCCTATTTGGGTAACAAACATAGTGAAGATCATATTAATGAGGTATGACCTGTTTGTACATTTTTAAAAAAGTAAAGAGGGGAATAATAACCAAACTAATTTAGTAGTGCCACAGAAGATTTTTCTGGAGCATTCACAACAGTGAATGTGGAGCTGGTAATCTAGTGGTAGCTTGCATACACATCCATGTGTATGTGTATTTAGAGTGAGGCATGTCTAGGCGTGGAGTGGTATTGACTCTAATTCCACCAGCTGAGGTAGTATGTAATTAAAATAAAATTTGGGTCAGCCATGGTGGCTCATGTCTGTAATCCCAGCACTTCAGGAGGGCCAGGCCAATGGAGTGTTTGAGGCAAGGAGTTCCAAGACCAGACTGGCCAACATGGCAAACCCCATCTCTACTACAAATAGAAAAATTAGCTGGGTATAGTGGTCTGTGCCTGTAGTCCCAGCTACTAAGGAGGCTGAGACAGGAGAATTGCTTGAACCTAGGAGACAGAGGTTGCAGTGAGCTGAGATGGCACCAGTGTGGGCCACCTGGGTGACAGAGCAAGACTGTCTCAAAAAGCAGAACAAAACAAAAACCAAGATCTTGAAAAACTAGTGGTGAGAAACTGACCAGGCAATCAGGAAGGGTATTGGGCTTGGGTAAATTTTAAAATCTGTGTCTCAATTATAAAATGAGGAAGTAATACAAAAAGTTTAAAATTCTGCTTTTTAAATAATTGAGTTATCCTCTGTATCTTTAAAACACTAGAGTAGCTTTATCTTCATTTTCATTCTCATTTCAGAGGTTGTAGAACCTACCTTTTAAAAGTTAAGGTTATAAAACTTATAAAAGTGAGGGGTCAACAAAAGTTGGTCCATGCCTATTTTTGTAAATAATGTTTTATTGAAATACAGCCGTACCCATTCATTTATTCATTTACAGTTGTCTGTGACTACTTTCATAATTCTGGAGCATGGTTGAGTACTAATAGTAGAGACCACATGGCCCACAAAGCTCAAAATATTTACTATCTCACCTTTTTTTTTTTTTTTTTTGAGATAGAGTTTCGCTCTTGTTACCCAGGCTGGAGTGCAATGGCGCGATCTCGGCTCACCGCAACCTCCGCCTCCTGGGTTCAGGCAATCATCCTGCCTCAGCCTCCTGAGTAGCTGGGATTACAGGCACGTGCCACCATGCCCAGCTAATTTTTTGTATTTTCAGTAGAGACGGGGTTTCACCATGTTGACCAGGATGGTCTCGATCTCTTGACCTCGTGATCCACCTGCTTCGGCCTCCCAAAGTGCTGGGATTACAGGCTTGAGCCACCGCGCCCGGCCTACTATCTCACCTTTAAATAGGCTTACAAAATAGAACCTTGCCCAAATTATATTCTTACATAGTTTGGTTTTTCCTTCTCTTAAAAACAAACAAAAAAAGAGCATTGCCAATACCACTTTTCCTTTTTTCAGTTTCTGTCATTTAAATTATAGCATCCTGAAATTACATTTTAGAGCAGGACACGGTGGTTCACGCCTATAATCCCAACACTTGGGGAGGCTGAGGCAGGCAGATCACGAGGTCAGGAGTTCGAGACCAGCCTGACCAACATGGTGAAACTCCATCTCTACTAAAAATGCAAAATTAGCCTGGCATGGTGGCACATGCCTGTAATTCCAGCTACTTGGGAGGCTGAGGCAGGAGAATCGCTTGTGCCTGGGAGGTGGAGGCTGTGGTGAGCCGAAATCGTGTTGTTGCACTCCAGCCTGGGCAGCAAGAGTGAAATGCTGACTCAAAAAAAATTTTTTTTGTATAATCTTAGCATTAACATAATTGCATTTGCCCTTTGTTTCACAGGAAGATGAAAAATTTCTGACAGATTTGTTTGCACAACTAACAGATGAAGCAACAGATGAGGAAAAAAGACAGGAATTGGTAAGAAATTAGAAATTATGAAAGGCATAAAAATAAAACAACAAACGTTTTATATTGACTTAATCTTTTTTTTTTTTTTTTTTTTTAATTTCAGGTTAACTTTTTAAAAGAATTTTGTGCATTTTCCCAAACGCTACAGCCTCAAAACAGAGATGCTTTTTTCAAGACTTTGTCAAACATGGGCATATTACCAGCTTTAGAAGTCATCCTTGTAAGTTTGTGTCTCCTTATTTTTAGTTACCATTTTGTATCCCAAAATTAATATTTTTAGTGTAACATGCAAATATTCTATTATAGCCAATATTTAATTAATTAGCTGGGTAGTTCATTAAGTTAAAGAACCTATAAAATTCCAGTATTAGACAGTTTTCACACAGTATTGAAAAAATGCAGTTAAGGAATTTTTCATAATTTAATGATAATTTGTCAGCTTTGCAGTTTATTAGCTGAAATGTTAAAATATAAAGGCAAACAGAAATAAATGATTTAGAAAGTATAATTTTATCCATACAATAAGAGTTTTATATGCGGAAGGATTTCTTTGCCTTTTCTTTTACATTGCAGTTTTTTTATATGTTGCTTTGTTAGGTTTGGATATTTACATAATTATAGGTGTTGTATCTTTATAATTACAGGATAAATAAATGCTTTTTGTCTGCAGGGCATGGATGATACACAGGTGCGAAGTGCTGCTACTGATATATTCTCATACTTGGTTGAATATAATCCATCCATGGTACGAGAGTTTGTCATGCAGGAGGCACAACAGAATGATGATGTAAGTAAGAAGTTAACAGAGCAAAAAATAACCAGCAAGGTAAATATTATTTGTACTAATAGTAAGTATTTATACATAGGAAGCTATAACTGTATTTATTCATTTTTAAGACTTAAACTGTTGCTATGGAAAAGCGTAGCCATAATATTAAATGGCTTATTGTTCCCTGAATTGGTTCCTGCCTCAGTTTATCAGTTTGTCATACAGCAATTACTTATGTGCATATAAATTGCCTTTTAAAATTTGATGTTAGGGTTTTTTTTGTTTTCAATTCTGAAGTCAACTTGCCATGTTGTTTTATTTAAATCATTTAGCCAATCAGTTCTCGTATCTAGGGAATTACGAGTAAGTTACCCAGGAAAACATCGACTTTAGAGTAGGTTCTCAAAATGGTCGAGAATGAAGAAATGAAGCATGGTTCCTTAAATTACACAAGGCACTGTTTCTTTACTGCCTAGCCATAGAGAACAAGCTGTTACATTGTTCACAAACACTCATATATTTGCATCTGAGCTACACCAGATTTTAAAGTAATAGAGAATATATCCTGGTAATGTTAAGGGTGCTTCTGGATCACAAGCATGTGATATGTGAGAGCACTAATGTGTGTGCTCTTCTTTGTTTTAAAATAATTGAACCAATGATTCTGATTTTCCTGCTTCCCCCATAACATTTTGGAAGCAACTTTTTACTTAAGAATGAGTAAGATAGTCTGCCCTTAGCTCCTTCTTAAGGGAGGATTGGCAAAAAAAATCTGAGCAGAAGAATTCCAGCCTATGGTATTTTTACGAAATAAGAAAACAGACTGTCTTACTTTTTGAAAAGATCCTTATTAATGTGTTGTGACGTCAAAAGGAAATGGAATGCCATATAACTGCTGTTTAAGGTTTTATTTTTAAAGTATAGTGCAGGATAAGTGCAAAAAAGCACTAGTTTGAACTATTAAATATTATGTTTTTCTTTTGTAAAATATTCATGTCAGCCCAGCAACATAGCAACACTCTCCTTTACTACAAAAATAATTTTTAAAAATTAGTCAGGCATGGTGGCATGACCTATAGTCCCAGATACTCAGGAGCCTGAGATGGGAGGGTCTCTTGAGACCAAGAGTCTGACTCTGCAGTGAGCTATGATTGTTCCACTGCATTCCAGTCTGGGTGACAAAGCCAGACCCCATCTCAAACAAAATTCTTGAGAACCAAAATATCTGTATTACTGTAAATAAAGGCTGTTCTTGTTGGTCCCATTAACCCATGAGCTGAACATGAACATATATTGATACACCTCAAAAATACTTTACTCACATACAGTAGGACTCTCTTACTCTCTCTCCCTCTCTGTCTCTCTCTTTTGCCATAGAATAACATTTCAGTCAGTAGCACTTTTGAATCCCACTCTTCTTGATTATCATTTCCATATACTGGCTTCATTTTCTCTGTCCCTTATCCATCTTGCCTTTGCATACACACAGCCAAGAGCAGGGATTTTCTCTCTGAATCCCTCTCAATTTTATTTACTACTTAGGCAGGGAACACCAGTCATGATAGGGCCTCAGGAAAACTAGCCGTCTTTATCTTTGATATTTAGAGTGTATATAATCCATTTGTTCTCTGCACTCTCTAAATACCACAGTCTCATTTTCCCCAATTTCGGGCATTCAGATAACAACTAATTTTTACCTAAATTTATTTTAAAAGGAAACTTTATATCAACTTATACAAATGGAGAATGTATATCATTGGCTATAAATAGAATGACTATAAAAATAAAAGAAATGAAAGTAGAATGATCTAAATCCTACCTAAATATTCTTACTGTTAAAACTATGGTCATAAAATCCATTGGCTTTCTTCAAAAGGTAGATTACATTATTAAAAAGTTATAAAGATCTATTATCACCAAACTGAAACTTTGCTTTTGCTTTACATCAGAGGAGTTTAAAGATAACCGACAAATTTTTTTTCGGTACTATTTAGGGCCACATCCCTGTACCACACTTTAGGGAATGAAACATTGTCATATGTCCTTTCAGATAACTGATAATAAACATTTCACTTTGCAGTTAACAAAACAGCTAGAGCCTGGGTATAATGCTGTAGTATGTGTCTTAGTTTTTGCTTTTTCCATTCTCTCTTATAATAAGTGATCCTTAGTATGTCTGTTTTTCTCTCCAGGATATTTTGCTCATCAACCTCATTATAGAACATATGATTTGTGATACAGATCCTGAACTTGGAGGAGCAGTCCAACTTATGGGCCTGCTTCGAACTTTAGTTGACCCAGAGAACATGCTAGCCACTGCCAACGTAAGCAATGAGTATTTTTCCTCTTTTTCTTAGCTAGTATATTGTGTGTTGCTGGTAGGAACCAGTACAGTTAAAGTTCATGGAAGTGTTTTTGATTCCTTAGAAAACAGAAAAGACTGAATTTCTGGGTTTCTTCTACAAGCACTGTATGCATGTTCTCACTGCTCCTTTACTAGCAAATACAACAGAAGACAAACCTAGTAAAGGTAAGATAATTCAGGTTGGTAGTTAAGTTCTCTGTTCTTGAATGCTGAATTTAAAGTTGATGTTAAGTAAATGTTTTTAGGAGGCAGTTAGAGGGAGGTAGAGGCTGGAAGTACACACCTTTTAAAAAGTAGCAGTCTTTAACAGTTCAAACCATCAGGTTAACATAGAGGTCTTAATAATGTTTATTTGTTTGTTTTATCGAAAGCAACCTGGAGTATTAATAATGTATTTTGAAAAGAGAGGTTCATGATAAAAATTTCCCTAAACGTACTATAACCAGATAACAGAAACATGTAAAAGAAATAAGATAAATTTTTGTTTCTTTCCGAATTTTAAAATGATTTTTTGTTAAACAATATTTGCATTCAGTTTGCATCTCCACTGGTCAAATATAAATAGAAGGCAGTAGCTATGAAAAATTCATTTTAAATTATTTGTACTCCAGATGTATAGACAGAGCTAGGATTTTTGCACAATATTAAGCTATTTTTATTTATATTAAAAATATGTTAGGGTTTGTTATTTTTGCATTTTACTCATTAGAGCTTTAGCTTTTGTGTGTGTGTGTTTAATTTAGGAAGTTCTTTTAGGGTATTCATTGGGGAAATTCCTTATTTAAGCTTTAGGAGTAAATACATTATTTTGTTACTTGAGTTTTCTTTTTTTTGAGACAGGGTCTTGCTTTGTTGCCCAGGCTGGAGTGCAGTGGCACAGTCTTGGCTCACTGCAAGTTCTGCCTCCCAGGTTCAAGCAATTCTCCTGCCCTAGCCTCCTGAGTAGCTGGGATTACAGGCACCTGCCACCATCTCTGGCTAATTTTTGTATTTTTAGTAGAGAGAGGAGATTTCACCATGTTGGCCAGGCTGGTCTCGAACTCCTGGTCTCAAGTGATCTGCCTTCCTTGGCCTACCAAAGTGCTGGGATTATAGGGGTGAGCCACCACGTCTGGCCTTGAATTCTTAATGTCGTATAGTTAACTTACAGCATAGCACTCACATAAAATACATGTTAAATTTATTTTTTGTGTAACTCCAGAACCAAGTCCATGAAATGTGAATATCCATTTTCTTACCTGTTTTATTCATACTGGGTGAAGCTTGAGGTGTCTTTCCAAACAACATGTTCTATTCCTCCAACCTTTATTAAGATAAGAACTCATTGTGATTTTGTGGAAGGACTGTGTTATTATCTTAATGTGGCGGGGATGAAAGAAAGTGAGCCCTTCAGAGGCTTACTGCCTGGTGAGGAGTAAAGATAAGTCAATGATTATAATTCAGTATAGACTCGTTACAAGTAGTAGAGGAGGCAGAAAACACATTGTTTACCTCCTTCCCAAAATCAAAGGAGCAGGAAGAGAGAGCAGTTGCACCAAAAATGACATGGTGTCTGGTAGAACCTCATATGCTATGTGTACATCTGTTGGAGAACATTTGGTAAAGGGTCCTTGAATTTCAGAATAAGCAGATACTCTAGGTTTGTATCCTAACTCTGCCTTACTAACGTTTCCAACTTGGGTCTACTTGGTTAATAGATTCATAATGTGAAACCAGTTCCGTATAGGGTTGTTAAAATTAAATGTAAAAAATAAAAAACACCATTCCTGGTACATGGTAGGCATTCAGTAAATGCTGATTTCCTCCTCCCTAAAGTTAAAATATATGGTGAGTAGAAGGGATTTTACTTGATTGGAATTTGAGTTCTTGTATTTTAGAAGAAAAAATGTTAGCCATTAAATATAATTAATTGTGTTTTGTTTCTTCTAGATGATTTTCAGACTGCTCAGCTATTGGCACTTGTATTGGAATTGTTAACATTTTGTGTGGAGCACCATACCTACCATATAAAGAACTACATTATTAATAAGGATATCCTCCGGAGAGTGCTAGTTCTTATGGCCTCAAAGCATGCTTTCTTGGCATTATGTAAGTGTTAGAATTACTTACCGTCTTTGTATATTGTCATTTTGGTATTTTTATATCTTATTGCCCAAATGAAAAGACCACTGATCACAGGTCAAGAGACCTAGGTTGTAATACTAGTTCTGCCACTGATTACGTACGTTTGCAACGTTGAGCAGTTGTTTTTCTTGACTCTTCTTACTCAATATTCAGCAAGGGAGTAGAATGTATCTACAGTGTTATATTCTATTACTAAAACAGCACCTTTGATCATTTTACCTTGGATATTTTATAGCAGGGGTGGCAAACTACAGCTGAGGCCAGATTCAACCCCTGTGATTGTATAGCCTACAAGCTGAAACATGTTTTGTTTTTAAAAGGTGGCCTGAGAAGAGGGAAATGAATATGCTACAGAGACCATATATGTGGCCCACAAAGCTTAAAATATGTACTAGGTGAACCTTTTTGAAAACATTTGCGGAGCAATATAGTCTTAAAACAAGATTGTTCTTAGACATAAGTTTTTCAAAAGTTAACTTTCACAGTGTTCTTAAGACCCTAGTTCGTTAGGGAAAACCATGTTTCTAAATTGAAAATAGGTTAATCCAGAATGTTCCTTATCAAGCAGCAGCCAGACATCTCAGGTAATGAGTTTCCATATGTAAGTGGGCTTTATTGTTAAGTTGTTAGACCAAATTTAGGGGGGCACCCTAGAGGTTCTGTAAGAGATTTTTTGCTGGTAACTTAATTTTTGCCTTGTGGGTTTTAAAGGTAAGTGTGAGTGTTTTTTTGTTGTTAAGTAGTTGTAGTCATCCACTAGAGGCCTGAACATACATAAATGTGTGTATCTATCTATTTATCTATCTATCTATCTATCTATATTTTTGCTAATCTTCTTTACTTCATTTCTAATTGTTTTGCTTGATTCTTTTAAAATCCTTAAATCATAATTACAGATGATTAAAATAATTAAAAATTAAAATTTATAAACAGCAAGGCACAGTGGCTCACGTCTATAATCTCAGCACTTTGGGAGGCCGAGGTGGCCAGATCACCTGAGGTCAGGAGTTCAAGACCAGTCTGGGTAACATGGTGAAACCCCGTCTCTATTAAAAATACAAAAATTAGCCAGGTGTGGTGGTACACACGTGTAGTCACAGCTACTCGAGAGGCTGAGGGAGGAGGATCCCTTGAACCTGGGAGGCAGATGTTGCAGTCAGCTGAGATGGCACCATTGCATTCCAGTCTGGGTGACAGAGCAAGACTCTGTTTCACCTGCCAACACCCCCCCCCCACCAAAGAAATGGTAAATTTTATAAAAGCAACATTGCTTTATTTTAAAATTCATTAAACTTCCTATCACAGTGACATTGTATTCATTTTTCTCATGTACCTATCACAGGTTGAGAACATCAAGGCCAAGTTTAGCGGGGGAGTTTATAGCTCTTTGACTTCTTTCATGTTGACAATAGAGGGTTTTGTGTAAGTGTGGAAAAGGGGGTTTGAGAACAGAATGGAAAAACTAAGTAAAGGAATAAATATAGTTTTACCAAATACATTAAAAACCGTACATTGATTCAAAAATGTGCATTTTTACACATTATCTCTGAAATCAAGATGAGTCTTACAGTTAATCCATTTATGCTTAGTGTCCATTATTGGAACACCCAGCTTGTGGGAGTTTTATATCCTGCTCAAGGTCATCACCAAGGTCTGATGTTCTACAAAAAAAATTTGCAACTTCTGGCATAAATGAGTTAATGGCATGTCATTATAATTGGTAGTTACTCAGTGGCATCTTAGATTTGATTATTGTCTATACATCTGGTGTACTAGGAAAATGAAGTTGGTTATGACCTGGACTTGACTACCAGGGGAATCAAAATACAACAATTATAAACACTATATTAAGATGTGTTTGGAAGCATAGTGGAAATAATTTATTATAATTTAATGAGGCAGATGAAAAAATTTCACAAAAGTGATAAAACTTTTTCTTGAGACAGTCTCTCTTTTTCACCCAGGCTGGAGTGCAGTGGTGCAATCTCGGCTCACTGCAACCTCTGCCTCCCAGGTTCAATTGATTCTCCTGCCTCAGCCTCCTGAGTAGCTGCGATTACAGGTGTGCACCACCAATCCAGCTAATGTTTGTATTTTCAGTGAACTATGGGACAGAATCTTTTAAGCAAATGAAAGTTTATTGTTGGAAACTAAGTATGTTAGCAAAATCTTAGTTATGTTTCATTGCTGATATTTTCCAAACTGAGTCAGGTTATCATTAAATCTGACTCTTCCAAATTGACTTCTTGATGTACCTCTCTTCCCAGGGTTAAGGATACAAATGTCTTCCTAACAAAGATGCCTGTCATTAGGAACAAGCTTTTTTGAACTGGCTTTATTATATGCAGTAGGAGTTTTTGTCAAAGATTTCTAAGAACTAAATATAAATTTCAGGAAATGTAAGATATTTGTGGTTCATCTGAAAAAAGTGTACATTGAAGTATTCGGTATAGTATTTTAAAGGAGGGTTTATTGATATTTTAGTTTAGATGCACACATATAAATACAGACAGTAATGAGCAGTTAAATGTAAACAATTTGGGGATTTAGGGAGCTTTTTTTTTTTTTTTTTTTTTTTTAAAAGATGGAATCTTGCTCTGTCACCCAGGCTGGAGTGCAGTGACACCATCTTGGCTCACTGCAACCTCTGCCTCCCAGGTTCAAGCAATTCTCCTGCCTCAGCCTCCTTAGTAGCTGGGGTTACAGGCATACACCACTATGCCCAGCTAATTTTTCTATTTTTAGTAGAGACAAGGTTTCACCATGTTGGCCAGGCTGGTCTTGAACTTCTGACCTCAGATAGTCCGCCCACCTCACTCTCTCAAAGACTCTGGGATTAGAGGCGTGAGCCACCACACCCAACCTAAATTTTTTTGTGTGTGTGTGGCTGCTTAATTAGTATACTTTGCCACAACTAGTTAGTATGTAGGTGGGTCCAGCAATCCTTCCTAAACTCAATCTTTATAGGCTAGATACCGGTTCTGTCAGTTTCCTTGGCCTTATTAAGTTTCTTAGATCTTACATTGTAGCCCATTGGTGCAAACTTTATGTTGTTTGAGGGCGTTTTGTTGTTCTTGTTAAAAATATGGAAATCTTAAAAAGGAATGAAATAAAGCTTTATTGTAGAGGCACTTACTCAGCTATCATTAGTTACAAGGTAAAAAGCCACAAATGTATTACATGAAATCTCATATTTTATAAAGTCCAGATGAATAGTGGGTTTTAGAGATGATTGAAACTAAGCACAAGAGGTTCCTGGAATGTTAATGAAGGTTAGAGATAGGAGTGGAAGCAGAATGTGCTTTACATTGAAAATCCAGTGGCAGTGCCAACTTGGGCTTTCTCCACTCTACTTTGAATGACTTGACTTCCTGGATCTTTCTGGTAAAGTTTTGAAAGCAACTTTTTACTCAACAGCAAAGAATAGTGGTTGGGTATTTTTGATGCAGGTTTCTTTTAAGGGATGGATTTGAGTGGTGATAACACAAAGTTCTTGATGTGAAAATGTAAGAGCAAATGGAAGTAAGGACTAAAACAAAAAGACCACTAGAACCACATTCTGTCTCCACCAGCAGTTTCTGGATAGAAGTGTTCTTGAAGAAGTGCAATGGTGCCATTTGCATTCCCTTGTTTTAGTGAATTTCAGGAAGGGAGTTTTTTACTCATGTAGGAGCTATAGTCAGACAAGGGGTCAGTGTGTGTATGGTAGGACACAAGTCTCCACAAAGCCCGAAAAGTTGGGAGTACAAATTCTTAAAATAGTAATACTCCTGCCTTAATTACTAAAAGTTTAAAATGTGGTCTGTTAGCATGATCTCTAAGTACTGATTTTTATTCCTAACAAGTGGAACTGCCTCAGTAAGTTCCTTTGCCAAATAACCTTAAAAATACAAACTGAAAATATTGTTTTGGGAAAATAAACCCTTGTTAGGCTTTGACTTACCACACAGAAAGATGCCTCTTAGTGTTTAAAATGTCTTAGTTTCACCATGATTATGTTTTTAAAAATATTCCGTAGTTTAAAAAATAAAATGCAGTTACTATTCTATAAACTATTTTGAAACTCCCTGCCCAGAGTGTTTCTTAAGAAAGATACACTCTTAAATAAGTTGCATTGTTAAGGCAGTTAATAATCAACTGTACCTAATTGGGCATTCACTTGTGGACCTCTTTTCTGCCAACTAAAGAAAAATTGAGCTGCTTTACTCCTCTGCCTTCCCACCCAGAAACCGTGTCAGCATGGTTGCCTGGCTACCTGCTCATGAAGGACTTGATTAATAGCAAATTGGCAATTTAACGAGCCACTTCCATGATCTCCAAAGAAATCAAAATACAAACACAATATTTAATCTTGCCAACCGAAGACGATGTGACTGCATGAAGTGAGTATGCTTTTTTGCACTGTTTACAATAACTGGGGCATTAACTTACTGATGATTCCATTTAGGTAAAGAGGGCTTTGTTGAAGTCTAGCTGTCTGAGTATATTTGTATCTTGATGAATGGTGACTTAAGTAACTCCCCATACCTCAAGATGTAAATATACCTTTTAATCTGTAAGTTAAAGCCTAATTAATTATGAAAATGAAAACTGGAAAAAAATTAAAAAGCATACTCGCTACAATAAGCATAGAGGACCACATTTTAAATAACATCCTCTCAATTTATTTCTAAACTATGGCAAGGCAAATTTGGGGTCATGCAGATTTTTGTGGGTTTATGGCCTTTCTACAGCCACATCCACAAGTAAATAAATAAATTTCCACAAACTATGATGCAAAATAATAAGAGTGTCCAAAAATATTGAAGATCAAATTATACAGTGAATTGCCCTAATAAAACATCATTTTTTTCTGTTATGGTGGATATAAAAGATCATGCTGAACTTTTTTCATCTTAAGTAGTGTAATAGGCGCATTTGTTTGTCTTAGCTCTTATTTTATATGTAAATTACAGTTTGGTCATTAGTAACTTTTATTTTCAGGATTTTTCTTCTGGCTTTCGAAGACTTGTGTTCTATGATGACATATACAACTTTTAGAAGACATTTTTCTGATAACACTTTCATAATCCTTATCTTTAGGTTCATAGTTCTGGAAGTACAAACATCACTACACAAATGTTGATATGCATTAAACGGGTTTTTTTTGTTTGGTGGTTTTTCTGTTTGGTAAGTCTAAAGTATGGAAGAGTGGTATGTGATTTAAACAATGCCTCTGTGTTTCAGGTGCCCTTCGTTTTAAGAGAAAGATTATTGGATTAAAAGATGAGTTTTACAACCGCTACATAATGAAAAGTTTTTTGTTTGAACCAGTAGTCAAAGCATTTCTCAACAATGGATCCCGCTACAATCTGATGAACTCTGCCATAATAGAGATGTTTGAATTTATTAGAGTGGTAGGTTCTGTATTTTTAATTAGAATTTTTGTTTTGTTTGAGAAAAATGAATTTGCATTACCTAGTATTTTGGCTTATTTGAGATTATTATATTTGGAGAGAATTTCTTAAATAACGAAACTACCAAAAGCCTGTGAGAGATTTGATTCAAGCTGCATCTTAACCTTTCAGCAGCTACAAATCTTGTTTTGGCGGCGGGTTGCAGGGACAGAGTCTCACTGTTGTTTCCTAGGCTGGAGTGCAGTGACAAAATCTTGGCTCACTGCAACTTTTGCCTCCTGGGTTCAAGCGACTCTCATGTCTCAGCCTCCCAAGTACCTGGGATTACAGGCACATAACACCACACCCAGCTAATTTTTATATTTTTAATAGAGATGTTGGTTAGGGTGGTCTTGATTTCCTCACTGCATCAGCCAGCATGCCCAGCCAGCTGCAAATCTTTTTTAGCAGGGGTCCTGAACCCTTTGGCTGCAGACCAGTCCGTGGCCTGTTTGGAACCTGGCTGCACAGCAGGGGGTAAGCTGCAGGCAAGCGTTACCGCCTGAACTCCACCTTCTGTCAGATCAGCAGCAGCATTAGATTCTCCTAGGAGCATGAACCCTGTGGTTAACTGTGATGTGGAGCAATTTCATCACGAAATCATCACCCCATGGAAAAATTGTCTTTTACAAAACCAAAAAGGTTAAGGACTGCTGCTTTGTAGGATGGTCACAGTAGTCATTTTAAGAAAGCAAAACTGCCGGGCACGGTGGCTCAAGCCTGTAATCCCAGCACTTTGGGAGGCCGAGGCGGGTGGATCACGAGGTCGAAAGATCGAGACCATCCTGGTCAACATGGTGAAACCCCGTCTCTACTAAAAATACAAAAAAACTAGCTGGGCTTGGTGGGGCATGCCTGTAATCCCAGCTACTTAGGAGGCTGAGGCAGGAGAATTGCCTGAGCCCAGGAGGCGGAGGTTGCAGTGAGCCGAGATCGCGCCATTGCACTCCAGCCTGGGTAACAAGAGCGAAACTCCGTCTCAAAAAAAAAAAAAAAAGCAAAACTACACTTGACAGGGAAGCATTTTAATGTGTTTTTCTTAACTTTCACATTTCTAAAGAGCAATTTCATAATACTCTTCATTCTCTAAGACTGTAATAAGCTAGTGGTTCTTAAACATGGATGCTATGCAAATTTATCTGGCATGCCTTTTTTTTTTTTTTTTTAAAGAGATGGGTTTTGCTATGTTGCCCAGTTGGTCTCAAACTCCTGTGCTCAAACGATCCTCCCACCTCAGCCTCACAAGTAATTGAGACTGTTGGTGCATACCACAGTACCTGGATGTCATGCTTTTTTAAAAGTTGGGGTAAATAATATACAACATTAAACTTGCCATTTTAACCATTTTTAAGTATACATTATTGTGCAACCGTCACCATCATCCATCTTCAGAATTTTTCTGTAAGATGCTTTTTTTTTTTTTTTTTTGGAGACAGAGCCTTACTCTGTTACCCAGGTTAAAGTACAGTGATGTGATCTCGGCTTACTGCACCCTTGTGCACCCTCCACCTCCCAGGTTCAAGCAATTATTGTGCGTCAGCCTCCCAAGTAGCTGGGATTACAGGTGCCCACCACCACACTTGGCTAATTATACATATAAATATATGTGTGTATGTATGTATTTTGCTTCACCTTGCCTGTGTAAACAATTTTTATATTTTTAGTATAGATAGTGTTTCACTATGTTGGCCAGGCTGGCCTCAAACTCCTGACCATAGGTGATCTGCCCACCTTGGCCTCCCAAAGTGCTGGGATTACAGGCATGAGCCACTTCGTCCAGCCTGTGACATGCTTTTAAAATACACATGGCTATTGTGTGTTCTCATTTATAAGTGGGAACTATGAGTACACATGGCTATAAAGAAGGAAACAGCAGCTACTGGGGCCATTTTGAGGGTAGTGAGTGGGAGAGGTGAGCATTAAAAAACTATCTATTGGGTACTGTGCTTATTACTTGGGTGATGAAATAATCTGTACATCCAACCCCTGTGACACGTAGTTTACCCATATGACAAATATGCACATGGACCCCTGAACCTAAAATAAAATTTCACTAATATAAATGCCCATGGCCAGGCACAGTGGCTTATATGTACTTTGGCAGGCCAAGTTGGGAAGATTGCTTGAGGCCAGGAGTTAGAGACTACCTCAGGCAACATTTCAAGACCCCATCTCTCCAAAGTTAAAAAAAAACAAAAACTTAGCCCCATATGGTGGTACATGCCTATAGTCCTAGCTGCTCAGGATACTAAAGTGGAAGGACTGCCTGAGCCCAGGAGTTCAAGGCTGTGGCGAGCTGTGATCATAAGACTATACCTCAACCTGGGTCCCAGAGTGAGAACTCATCTCTAAATCACATACCCATCCCCCACATCAGAATCAAAATCACCTAGGGCAAGACCTGGACATTTGCTTTGTAAAGACATAGATAACCAGGCATGGTGGCTCACATCTGTAAATGCAGCACTTTGGGAGGCTGAGGTGGGTGGATCACCTGAGGTCAGGAGTTCAGGACCAGCCTAACCAACATGGAGAAACCCCATCTCTACTAAAAATATAAAATTAGCTGGGCTTGGTGCCATATGCTGTAATCCCAGCTACTTGGGAGGCTGAGGCAGGAGAATCGCTTGAAGCCGGGAGGTGGAGGTTGTGGTGAGCCAAGATCACGCCATTGCACTCCAGCCAGCCTGGGCAACAAGAGCAAAACTCCATCTCAAGAAAAACAAACAAACAAACAAAAAACCCCATAGATAAATTGGGGACTACTATAGTAGCCAGCATATGTTATTCCCATTTTTTTTTGTTTGACCATCTCTAAGATTATGTTATTTTATGAAATTAACCTATTTTTGGTGAGTATGAATTTATTAAGCCTCATCTTGCTAAGATGACATTTTTTCATTACTGTTCCCTTCTGTAGGAAGATATAAAATCATTAACTGCTCATGTAATTGAAAATTACTGGAAAGCACTGGAAGATGTAGATTATGTACAAACATTTAAAGGATTAAAACTGAGATTTGAACAACAAAGAGAAAGACAAGATAATCCCAAACTTGACAGGTAAATTACCATATATTTGAACCTATTCATTCAGCATCGAGTTGCATGGTAGTGGCTTTATTGTTTGATATTTTTTGGCTTGACAAGGAATGGGAAAATAAGCAGATAGCAAATAGAAATTGTAGTTTCCCATAAAGATCAACATAAATGCTTTCCTGAAGATTTAGCTGGTTTTTAGTATAATGCTGCAGACCCTCAGGCATGTATCAAGGTAGATAACAAAAAGCCCAAACAGTGGCAATGAGGCTTCATGTGTTCAAAATAAAATCAGAGTATTATATTATTTGCTTTGAATTTACAAGTTACTAAGGTTACAAATTATTCTTTAAAATCTTGTACATTAAATACCTCGATTTACATTGATACTATATTTTAATATCTGCAAATTCCTTGTTAATTCACAATGTTAACAAGTTTAATAAGTCTATATATGGTTATATTCTTTCTTCTCTACTCGTAGTATGCGTTCCATTTTGAGGAATCATAGATATCGAAGAGATGCCAGAACACTAGAAGATGAAGAAGAGATGTGGTTTAACACAGATGAGGATGACATGGAAGATGGAGAAGCTGTAGTGTCTCCATCTGACAAAACTAAAAATGATGATGATATAATGGATCCAATAAGTAAATTCATGGAAAGGAAGAAATGTATGTTTAAAAAAAATGGGCAAGAATATATGAAGGCTTTCTGACTCCAGATTTATTATTTCTTGACAAAATGATTAGTATTTGTTTTGAATATGTGATGGCATAGGTTTTAAAGATTCCATTGCTTTATGGGATGTGACTGAACAGCAGTGTTGTACAGGCATAGACTTAAGTTTTCTTAATTTGAGTCAATTAAGGAATATACTATTTCAGGAAGGGTAGGGATGCTGAATATGATTCTGAAGGTTTCATTTCTTCTCTGAAGTGAGATCCAAGGAATGGAGTTGTATTTAGTATTTTGGTAAGCTTCATTTATAAATTGAACTTCAGTGTTTCTACCCAACAGAATAAGCTAGTTAAATGTGTTTTATTGTTACCAGCTGACTTGGGGAAATTTTTAAAGAATGAGTATGGTGGACAACTATTGACACTAGTCTCATTTTTAGTAAAAGAAAGCGAGGAAAAGGAAGTGCTTCTGAAAACAAATCTTTCTGGACGGCAGAGCCCAAGTTTCAAGCTTTCCCTGTCCAGTGGAACAAAGACTAACCTCACCAGCCAGGCATCTGCAACAAATCTGCCTGGTTCTCCAGGCTCTCCTGGATCTCCAGGATCTCCAGGCTCTCCTGGATCCGTACCTAAAAATACATCTCAGACGGCAGCTATTACTACAAAGGTACATTTTTGACTCGCGTTTTGCTCCCCCACTTTTCCCTAATTTAAGCTTTCTCAGCAATAATTTTGACTAAGCTTCCCTTTGGTTACTGCCACCTAGAACTGATTTATTGAGTCTGCCCTACCACCACTTGAACTTACCTAAAAGTTGAGAAATTCTTATGACCAATGCAAAAGTCTGAATATCATTATGAATTCTTACTTTGGCATTTTGCATTTTAGAACTACAACTTCAGGTTTGTATGTCAGAAAATTTACAGAAATGTTAAGGTTTTCAGTTATTATTTAATAAATTTTCCTAACACCTAGATAAAGGCTTTGCGGGGAAATGATAATCTGAATAGCTGGATACTCCTAACTTTACTTTGCCAGTTAAGTTTTGATTTTAAGGAAACTAGCCATCTACTACTGTCACTAACACTTCATATAAGAAAGGAACAAAATCTTAAGAAAAACAGAAAAGATGCAATCTCAGAGTAAAACCAACTTTTGGGGCTCCTTATACTGCCACCCCCCCCCCCATTTTGAGATACAATATATCGATTATTGGGCTAGCAGACTAGCATTTAAAAGACTGGCATTTGGGAATCGCTGACCTAAATTGGGAATGTAATGCCCATTCCGTCTTTTTTTTTTTTCTGGAGTGAGCAGGAGACCCCTATGGCTAAGAAGTGAATCTGAGACATGCTGAAACGAAGAGGCAGGCTTGAGAGTAGAGCAATGTGAATTTTTCCCTGAGCATCTAAATAAAGTGAGCTGCACTGGTTTCTGGTGAACGAGCTGGGCTAAGAGGAAACCCAGATGAAATAATGAGGAAGAGTCGGGGCAGAACTGCTTTATCTTCTGCAGTTTTCATTTTGATACTTTTTTTGGGACAGAGTCTCAGTCTGTCGCCCAGGCTGGAGTGCAATGGCGTGATCTTGGCTCACTGCAGCCTCCACCTACATTAAAGCAGTTCTTGGGCCTCGGCCTCCCAAGTAGCTGGGATTACAGATGTGTACCACCAGGCCTAGCTAATTTTTGTAATTTTATTAGAGTCAGGGTTTTACCATGTTAACAGATCAGGCTGGTCTCCAGCTCTTGTCCTCATGTTATCCCTCTGCCTCAGCCTCCCAAAGTGATGGAATTATAGGCATGAGCCACCATGCTCAGCCTCATTTTGATACTATTTTAGACTTTATGTTTAAAAAAATTTTATTGTGCTAAGTCTTGAAACATTTTCATTCATTTTCTAACTTCTGGGTAATTTGCTAGAATTAGACTACTTAAAATTTTTTTGCCTTAGATCAGGTGCAGAGGCTCATACCTGTCATCTCAGCACTTTGGGAAGCCAAGGCGGGTGGATCATCTGAGGTCAGGAGTTCAAGACCAGCCTGTCCAGCGAAACCCCATCTCTACTAAAAATACAAAAATTAGCTGGGCATGGTGGTAGGCACCTGTAATCCCAGCTACTTGGGAGGTGGAGGCAGGGAGAAGTGCTTGAACCTGGGAGGTGGAGGTTGCAGTGAGCAGAGATCATACTATTGCATCTAGCCTGGGTGACACAGTGAGATTCCGTCTGAGGGTGCTGTAGGGGGAAAAAATAAGTTTTCTTGCTTTAATTTTAATTAACTCAAAAAAGTCTTCCCTTATGTAAAAAAGTACGCGTATTAGCGAAAATTTAAATGATGCATAAACATAATGAATTTACGTTTAACACAGTCCCACCACCCAGAAAGAACCACAATTACCATGTTGATTTAGGATCTGGTTTCTTTTCTCCAGTCATAAAACACCAATGTTGTTACATGTGTTTTGTTTTCTGTTGTCTGATCCTTATTTCTGAACAGGGAGGCCTCGTGGGTCTGGTAGATTATCCTGATGATGATGAGGATGATGATGAGGATGAAGATAAGGAAGATACGTTACCATTGTCAAAGAAAGCGAAATTTGACTCATAATAATGGCAACGGCCTAGGATCAGTACCTGTTGAAAAAAACTGGTTCTCCACCCCTCCCCCATACAAAATCCACAACAAAGCGCAGTGGTCTCTTGTGAATGACTGACACAGATCAGCTTCTTACACTTGACTTCTGCTCATCAAGTGCCAATTCAATGGAGCAGGAGGAGGGGATATCATACATTTAGGGGAAAGACTTAAGCCTTTGAGCTCTCCAGCTTGGACCACACATTGCCCTTTTCTCAGGGAAGGAAATGGAAACAAAAAGCCAACAGGGCAGGGGTTTTGTAAGTGGAACTCTGGATGGACTGGTCCGTTGCTACAATCAGAATATGCTTTCTTGGACCATGTTTGACACTTAGAAGAATGGGCCTTTCTGCCATAATTCTTCACTAGTTAAGAATGCCAGCAGTTTCTTTGTATAAAGAGACCTGCCTTTAAAATCATACATTCTGAACATTTTAGTCAAGCTACAACAGGTTTGGAAAACCTCTGTGGGGGAGGGGCGAATATAAAGTTTTCCTCTTTTTTATCTGTTCCCTTTGCCCTTCAAACTGCAGATTTTTTTTTTTTTTAAGTGGGGATTTGTCCCTACTTGATTAAAGATTGAGTGGAATTCTAGATGTGGTCATTTGTGTCATAATTTTTTTTGTTTTGTTTTTGATTTTTTTTCCTCCCCTGAGTGTATGCTTAGTTGTTGAATATATATATTTGGGACCATTAAAACTTTTTTTGATGTAATATAACCTAACGTTGTGCTGGTACCTGTTTTACCATGTGTAATTTTTGTTTTACATCACAGTTCTTAGTTTAGAGTTTTATGAAAGATGGTATAGTTTTTATTGACAAAAGCAAAGTAATCTTACAACTATGTGCATACAAAAGCAATACTATTTTGTGACTAAATATTTTATATTAAAATTTACATCAGCAACTGTCGAGAATTCAGGGAAACAGAGTGGAATTTAAAACTTCAGCGGTTTTGTTAAATCTAGAAACATGAAATTAGTATTCCAAAGAGATTCTGAAATTTCATATCTTGGGGAAATGACGGTACATTAAATCAAAATTGAGGATGGATGATTTAAAAATAACATTTGACTTTTGAATAATAAAAAGAAAAGTGAAGAGTAAGAGAAATTGTAGTAGTTGTATGTTTTCTTGTTTTTGTTTTTAACTACTCCCTTTGGAATACCAGTTTGAGTTGTAAGTGGTGGTTTCTAAGTAGATACTTGGCCAGAGGACCATCACCTGTCACCTTATTAAAACAATATTTTTAAATAGGTTCTTTTCATTGTCTTACATGTGATCAAATTCTTTAAAGGAAAATGAAAATAAATCTACTTACCCTCACTTTTTACAGTGAAGAATTTAGAACTTGTTGAAGAATATATTTTCAAATGTGAATAAAACTTCATATCCAGGAAAGGATGCTATTTTAAGTATCATATACTTTAAGTGAGTATCTAGCAAGCGCTGTGTGCTTCTCTGTCTTGTCTTGTTTATTCCTCAGTAAATTCTAACGGTGGTACCAAAAACAAGACTATATTGAATAGCTGGATAGAAAACCAGAAAGTGTCAACTTGCTACAGTCATTAAAAGTTTTATTATTGGCTGATAACTTTTTTTAACAAAAACTTTGGGTGCATAATTATGAGTTAAGTATATCTCACCACAGTATAGATCTACTTTGGAGTCACAAGTTTTGGCTATTAAGAATTGAAGTTCATCAACTTATCTTGCAAATAAAGAGAAGAAAAACTCTTAGGATCTAAGTCAATGTCTTCCTTTTTTACCTAGAAAGTCCCATGTCAAGTAATGTTTCTGTCTTAAACATGCAATTTAAAACTGACCTTTTTGGGCGATTCTTGAAACACTTGTCTTGGTATTCTGCAGGTTCTTAGAGGCAAGAAGTATCACTTGCTTTCATTTTGTGGTCCAGTATATTAACTGCTGGCCCTCCACAGTTAAGAGATGACTTTTTATTGATGGGCATTTGTATTCCCTTAGTTATTAGTAATTATGGTCACTGAAATAGAGACTTGACACAAGTGTTTCTAAAAGTAGAAGAAATTAGGTCAGAAAAAGCTTGTCATGTTATGAAGGAAAACTGTTAGAAAGCAATTGCTAGAAATACAACACTTGACACAGTTCCCTGTGATTCAAAAGTCCATGCTTGTTTCACTCTGTCACCCAGGCGTGTAGTATAGTGTAGTGGTATGAACATAGCTCACTGCAGTCTTGACCTCCCAGGCTAAATTGATCCTCCTGCCTCAGCCTGCCAGGTAGCTGAGACCACAGGCATACTACCTTGCCTACTAGCTAATGGTAGAGATGGGATCTCCCTATGATGTTCTGGTCTCCCAAATGCTGGGATTACAGGTGTGAGCCATTGTGCCTGACCAAAAGTCCAAACCCTTAATCACAGATACTATCTTGGTAACCAACATGAATGTAGTCAACAATTATTTTTCACCGTAACGATACCAATTGGTTCTTTTGGTCATTTTGCAGTGTTTAAAATGAAAGCATTTTCACGTCCCAGAGTGAACACCACAGTTTCTAATTATGGCAGGAAACACCTTGACGTCTATTAAAAAGATGTCGAGATGTCTTTTTTTTCTGCCCAGTTGTGCCTAATTTTTGTAATTGTACAAAAATTAGATTTTGCATTTAATTTTTCCCAGAACTCCAATTTGCAAGTCAATCTTTTTGAATTTGGAAATGCAGGGGAGGCATGGAGCAGGGGAAAACATTCTCTACTATTTGTTCTTAATTGATTTGACAACTGGTCTTTGTAAAGGCTGCAAGATTAGAATGGCAGTGGGTTTAAACTGGAAGATTTAAGTTGAAAGTTTTTCAGGTTGTCACCAGATTTCTTGTATTTAACCATAAATAACTGCTAAAACCACATTGTCAAAGTTCCTTTTGGAGGAAAATTTAAGACCTTCAAAATTCTTGTATTCAGATTATGTTAAACTTTTTCTGACAATGTTACCTATTTCAAGAAAGATTATGAAGACATTTTTATGGATGGATGATTATCTGCCGTTAAACTGGGGCTTTGAGAGCGTATGAGGAAATGTAGTCATCAGCATGTTGTGATTCCCAGTGCTAAATCAGTATGATTTTATTTCTTTAGCTTTAATATCTTATTTTGGCTCTGTAGAATGACAAATCTGAAAGAAAACTGTAGAGATCCTCTTTTCAGCTAAGTATGTTAACACTTGCATTAGTTGTCTTGTTTCTTCAAATAGTTCTTGGGGGAGACACAGCATTCCTTGACCTTTCTCAGTCTTCTGGATAAAGGGTTCTTCCGTGGACTCAGGAAATAGTGGTTACTTCAACATGATGCCACATGGGCTTTGGTTTATTTCCTCTGCCTCCTACCATTTCAAAGAAAGTGTTCTGGTATACGTGACATCCTCCCTGCAGGTTCATTGAATCCTTTTTTGTTTTCTATTATTTGACACTGAGGCAGCATTAGCTACCAACCACTGTTTTCTTGATGTCTTTCTCTTGGTTTCTGTAATCATTTGTGTTTTAACTTTTTTTTTTTTTTTTTTTTTTTTGAGACCGGGTCCTACTACTTGCCCAGGCTGGAGTGCACTGGGGTGAGCACAGTTCAATGCAGCCTTGACCTTCTGGGTTCAAATAGTTCTCTTGTCTCAGTCTCCTGAGTAGCTGGCACTACAGTTATATGACACCATGCCTGGCTGATTTTTGTGTTTTTTTGTAGAGACTGGGTTTCACTCTTGCCCCGGTTGGACTGCAGTGGCACAATCGTCACTCAACTACAGCCTTGAACTCCCAGGCTCAAGTAGTCCTCCTCCCTCAGCCTCTGTAATAGCTGGGACTGTAGCAGCTGGGACTACAGGTGTGTGGCACCATGTTTTGTTTTGTTTTTTTAAGAGATGGGATTTCACCGGGCGTGGTGGTTCAAGCCTGTAATCCCAGCACTTTGGGAGGCCGAGGCAGGTGGATCATGAGGTTAAGAGATCGAGACCATCCTGGTCAACATGGTGAAACGCCGTCTCTACTAGAAATACAAAAAATTAGCTGGGCGTGGTGGCGTGTGCCTGTAGTACCAGCTACTTGGGAGGCTGAGGCAGGAGAATTGCCTGAACCCAGGAGGCGGAGGTTGCGGTGAGCCGAGATCGTGCCATTGCACTCCAGCCTGGGTAACAAGAGTGAAACTCGGTCTCAAAAAAAAAAAAAAAAGAGATGGGATTTCACTTAGGTTGCCTAGGCCAGTTTGAAATTTTTGGCCACAAGTGATCCTTCCACCTCAGCTTCCCGAAGTGCCGAGATTACAGGCGTGAGCCAGCATGCCTGGCCTGTTCTATCTTTTGATGGCTCCATTCTTTACCCTTCAATGCTGGAATTCATTAGGCTTCCACCTTTGTGCACTCAACTTCCCAAGTTCTGGCCAGACCACATTTCTTATGAGGTCCTTGACACAATCATGCCGTGCCCTAAAGGATCTGCCCTTAACCTGTACTGTGCGTCTTCCTGAGTGCTCTTTTCCCTGCCTTGACTGCTGATGAACTTGAATTCTTTCAGCATTCAAAAGTGATCCCGATACCCCACTCCTTTCTTGAAGGAAGGGGCTATATCCTTTTCAACTCTGTATCCCTAGCATCTAGCATGACAGCAAACCCACAGGCAGATCCTGGGTAATCTGAGTAAGTGAAGGAAAGACTGAGGAATGTGCACACAGAATAGATTGGGAAAGCCTTAGCTGATGCTCTTAACACAGTCAAGAGTTTGACTTATTGACCACAAAATTCCCCATCCTTTGTACCCATGAGTCTTAGGGTAATTTTTTTTTTTTTTTTTTTGAGATACAGTCTGGCACAAGGTGCCAGGCACCAGGCTGGAGTACAGTGGCGCAATCTCCGCTCACTGCAACTTCCACCTCCTGGGTTCAACCAGTTCTCCTACCTCAGCCTCCCGAGTGGCTGGGACTACAGGCATGTGCCACCACGTCCAGCTAGTTTTTATATTTTAGTAGAGACGGGGTTTCACCGTATTGGCCAGGATGGTCTCGATCTCTTGACTTCGTGATCCACCCGCCTCAGCCTCCCAAAGTGCTGGGATTTCAGGCGTGAGCCACTGTGCCTGGCCGGGGTAATTTTTTTTTTTTTTTTTTTTTTTTACATGAACACCTGGAAAGAGACCTTGGGGTAATTCTAAATGCTCAAAATACTGCCTTGTTGGTGTAACATTTGTTGAATCAGCAACACCTATAATCCCACTTATTTAGGCTTTCCTGGTTTATTCATCTCTGCCCCCAGAACCTTTAACTCCTTAACTCAGTGTTCATTTGGTCATAGGTCTTTACTCCCATTAGGAACTGGGCCACACTGCAGGACATGAGAAGCAGGCAAGCCAGCAAAGCTTCACCTGTATTTATAGCCACTCCCTAGTGCTTGCATTACCACCTGAGATCGCCTCCTGTCAGATCAGCAGTGGCATTAGATTCTTATAGGACCACAAATCCTATTGCGAACTGCACATGCAAGGGATCTGTCACTGTCTCCCATCAACCCCAGATGGGACAGTCTAGTTGCAGGGAAACAAGTTCAGGGTTCTGACTCATTCTACATTATGGTGAGTTGTATAATTATTTCATTATATATTATAGTGCAATAATAATGGAAATAAAGTGCACAATAAATGTAAATGCACATGAATTATCCCGAAACCATCCTCCCCTCCCCACCCACCCCAGTCTATGGAAAAATTGTCTTCTATGAAATCAGTCCCTCGTGCCAAAAAGGTTGGGGACCACTGCTCTAAAGGAAGATGAAGAAACAGTGATACTTTATTAACCAACCTCCAAGATAATTCTGATTGCCTCATACTGTGAAAGGTAAGAATCTCTCCAAAACTTAAAAGCCCAGAAATATTTGGCCTTTGGAATGCTTGGGGTGGCTTTCAACAAAGGTAGAAAATGAGGAATTAGTGAAAGCCTTTCACCCAAAACCCCCAGTTCAAGCTCTTCAAGGGCCTATTTTGGAAGACTGGAATGGGGTAGGGGATTAGGGTACAAAATAAAAGAGGCTAAAGCAGCACTCAAGAAATCCCATGATATGTATTCCATACTTGTATGTTGATCGATAAATTGATTCTAAGAACATATTTCCTGGCAAAACAGGAGTGAAAAGTTGTGGACAAAGTGGAACGGCAAGAGCAGAGAAAGGCCTTGGTTTAAATTCTTACTCTGCTAGTAAGATCTTAGGCAAGTTCCGGAGGGATGCCAGATGTCTGATGAGGAGCAGCTCAGGATTGCAGCTCCCAGCGAAAGCGCAGAGGGTGAGTAGATGCCGCCATTTCCAGATGGATTTTTATTGCCCACAGACCAGGAGATTCCCAGGCAGAGGAGCCCCACAGGTCGCCAACACAGCTGTTTTGGCTGGCACAGCAGGTCTCTGCACAAAATACAGGGGTCCAGGCACTGTTTTAGCTGGTGATTGGAGCTCCTGGGAGACAGAGCAAACACTCCCTACGTTTGATAGGTGTACATGAATGTGACAGAGAAAATGAATCCAAGCTGGAAAACACCCTCCAGGATATTATCCAGGAAAACTTCTGCAACCTAGCAAGGCAGTCCAATATTCTGGTCCAGGAAATACAAAGAACGCCACAAAGATATTCTTCAAGAAGAGCAACCCCAAGGCACATAATCGTCAGAGTCACCAGGGTTGAAGTGAAGGAGAAAATGCTCAGGGAAGCCAGAGAGAAAGGTCGGGTTACCCACAAAGGGAAGCCCATCAGACTCACGGCAGATCTCTCAGCAGAAACCCTACAAGCCAGAAGCGAGTGGGGGCCAATATTCAACATCCTTAAAGAAAAGAACTTTCAACCAAGAATTTCATATCCAGCCAAACTAAGCTTCATAAGTGAAGGAGAAATAAAATCCTTTACTAACAAGCAATTACTCAGAGATTTCATCACCACCAGGCCTGCTTTACAAGAGCTCCTGAAAGAAGCACTAAACATAGAGAGGAACAACCAGTACCAGCCACTCCAAAAACATACCAAATGGTAAACA